CCTGCTGCTAATTTCCTCACTAAATCTTTACTTCAAGACCATTCAGGGTTAAACAGGCTGTCATTAGCCGCTTATTTTATAAAAGTCACTCTTATTAAAAAAAATATTCAGCAGACAAGATTAACAAACAAAAAATTTGCCGTATGTAGTACAGTCGGCAAATAAAGTCGTCGGTGAGCATTCATCCTAACTTGTTGGGTCTCACTTTACTATCGAAGTGGTTGTAGAATCAACGAACTCATCTTGTAATCTGATGGTCCGACATTAAATCCACAATGGGATTATGGGTGATTTCTTCCGAAGAGTCCCAAATTAGGACGACACAACTGTCTAGTACTCACTGATTTTCAGTAATTCTTCAAATGAAGCCAGTTCTCGATCAAACATGAAATTAATCAAATTCTTGCAAACCATCACTGGAAAAAGAAATTACCATAGAAAATCTTGGCTCTGTGTACTCAGACAATAAAGCGAATTCGGCGCAACATTTATTTTTCTGCAAGTTTAGTTAGACATTTCATGCCATTAAGTTAGTTTTAAAATTATCCATTTGAAAACTTTCAGTGTTTTCTAAAGGTGAAATACATTTAAACTTAATCAAAAGCTATAAAGTGTTACTCTTAGTCTGTATAAATCAACAGAAAAGTTTGTGATGCCAAAACTAAGCAACGCAGATCAGAATCAATAAGGGAACATAAGGCTCCCTGATGTCACTTTTTTTGATTTTTGATTAGAGCTTGAAACCACACAGTATTTTTGGTACTTGTATGGAATTTTCAGCATATGATATAGGTAGCCCAAATTTTACAGGCCGACCATAGATATCAGGTGTGAGTCGTCGAACCCCAGACCATGTGCATGGTCGGCGAGAGTCCTAACCACTGTGCTACCGAGGTGTGGACATAAAAGGCACAAAACTGTGGTCAGGCTAAACTTCCTGTTAGTAAAGTTCTTCTAACATTTAAGCAGAAATACTGACATGAATTTAAAAGACAAATTCAGTGAAGAAAATTTTCTTTATCAACGAAATCATCTTCACAGGATGTACAGTAGTATTTATATTTACCAAAAAATGTATAGTAGTCTATTATTGAGTAATAGGAGGTGACATAATTGATATCATTACCCAGAATCAAGAAAATCAAGGAAAGTAAACTAATGGACGTGGATCTCATGCTAAAAGAGCTCCCTGTGTTTAGCAAATCTTGCCAAGACACTTTTTATAACGACTTATTAATTTAGTAGTTTCAGTCAGTTAGCTGAAATTAGGTTATCATCGTAAAATGTCATCTCCAGCCGTGTAGTCTGTAAATAACTAACTACCCTCTGTGGTGGTAAAAATATCTTACTGATCTTTGTTTATTGATGATTTATAGCATATTTATTTCCCAAGAAGTGACTTCTGAACTGCAATAAATTCTTCATACGACAGAAACCACTGTGGTCATCATTTAAAAGCATTACGAGGGTTCTAGACAAAGTGATTTTTAAGTGTTGGTTTGCAGGGATTTGATTGATTGGTTACAGGATTTCATCATGAGCTGACATTGGTTACAGAACCACTGGAAAGCCTGGGAGTACTGAACAGCTGTTTCGTCCTAGTTTGAGACTCGCACTATGTCGTGAATTGGCAGAAGTTGGAATTCATGGGCCACTGGATCGGGTCTCAGTGGCTTAATGGCCTACCAGCTCGCCTTGTAACCAGAAGGTCCTGGGTTCGAACCCCGGTGGGTGCATACTGATGAAGAGTCTCAAACTAGGCTGACGAGACAACTGTCCAGTACTCCATGCAGGTTTTCCAATGGTTCTGTAACCGATGTCAGCTCATGATGAAAATCCTGTAACCAATCAAATCCCTACAAACCAACACTTGAACTTCAAAAACTGATTTATTTCATGTTTTAGTCTACCCCATTGTTCGCTTATTCTTTTGCATGCATTGTAACTTGACACAGTTATGAAAAGTTTCAGCCCAGTTTGTGAATAAATAACAAAGACTAGAGAACAAAATAAAACCTGGCACAGCACTAATTTATTTTTGTTCCAATAAATGAATTTTTGTTGACTTTAACTTGTATTCACTGACCACTGCATTTTAAAATTCTGTTTTCACATCAGTTATATAAGAAATTTTTATCCATCTTACAAAATTAGACTAAATTGTTACTGGCTAAACGAATTAATCAAACTTTTGTATACTTTATGTACAATGGATATTCAATATTTGATGAAGGTCATGTTATTTAGTGGGAAATTGAAGAATTTGAACAAATATAGTTCCTCTTTTCGAGGCGTCCATTAGTGCATTCATCAAATTATGGAACGATAAGCTGTCAATTCTCATATTACTATGACTTTTTCACCTTATATAGTTAGATTTAAAACAAAAAAGAATGTGGCTTAAACTCTGAGTGAATTTTTTCCATAGTGTTAAAATGTCCCATTAACAGACATCTTTTTTCACATAGATTATATTTTGAACATTAAAATCCTTTTGACATTTACTGGTATTATATGTCACAGTTTTGTTGAAGCCCTCTTAATATTCATCTTCAGTCAAACAACGCAATTAGTATATCAGCCGTTAACTGTAAAAATATTCTGAACGAGAAGTACAGCAATAAATTAAAAACTGTGAATTACTGTCTGTAGCTTCAGTAAACTGCCATCATAACGAAGATCTTCTGTCCTTTTCTTTCCATTCTGAAAAGAAAAAAAGCCTCTAAATTTAAGGTTTAGTAGGAGTGGTGTGTGGATACTATCCGGGCGTGACTGACAATTTCTGTTACTGTATTGTTTAAATGCGTACTATTGTTTATTCATATCTATTACATAAATTACAAATAATTCTGCCAAATACAAATTCTTAAATTCTGACCTCTTTCTTGTTGTTTGGTTTACTGGTATTCGGTCATTGTGAAATATAATTACAAATAGCTATTGCATATCCTCACACTAAACTTTTCCTCTTTTCCGGGCTTACTATCAGTTAGGCAGGGTTTTGGAGTGTTTCGGTCGGGAGTTGAATCCAGGCTTCCCATGTGGCTGGCGAGCATTCTACCATTAAACCACTGATGCCATGAAGGTCTTCTCCCAGCTGTGTTCCCCGCCACCGATAAGTACAAGACTTTGGCTTGCAAGATATCAAAGGGCTTATAACCTATTTTCTTACTTTTCATAAGAAATTATCCATAAAAATAATACATATAGCAAGGGACATCATATTCCCCATTAAATTAAAATTTACAAGATATATTTTAAATACTGTTTGCTGAATGGCAAATGTCTATCAACTCGCTTAGCAACAGCTGGAAAAAGCACAGAGCTACATACAGACATAAAATAATGTCGAAATGAACACACAAGAGTGCAATAGAGTTATGAATGAGGATTAACATAAGTGTACAGAATCTTATTGATAAAATGTGAACAAATGTAAACCATTGTTAGTAGTGTTAAATCCTTTTATCAAGAGTGTTTGGTGACTGAATTACAGAATCTCCGCAACCCCAAAAGTCAAGATAGATTCACCCGCGTTTCTCAAACTTATAGTAAATAAATTCATGGGACTGATATCTTCTTTTAGTCTGGCTGTGCATGACTCTTGCCCACTCTAATCAGACTTCAGAAAAAACCGGTCTTCGGGATATACAACGGCTCAGCATATTTAATAAATATCTTAATAAACAGAAATGTTGAATATTCCTAACCACATTCTTTGATTTGCTTAACCCACCTAACATCATTTGTTATATCGTATTTTTGCCTCCATTTTACTCCCACTTCACATGGGTCATTCATCAAGAACACTCATGGAATGTGATATGTAGTCTCTTTATATCTTCTGCTTTCACTCGTCACGTCTCCCAGACAAACAATGAGAGAAGGCAAACTATCATGTAATTTACACTGTTGTTTTTTGACAGGCCGAATATTGAAATGGTTTGGAAAATAACTCAGACTGACAGATGTTGAAAGAATTTGTTTCGGTGCTAAAATCTGGTTTCACAAAGATTGATAGAACTTTCTGAATAAGTCAAGTAGCGAATTTTCATCTACCTCACTGCCTTTTACTTCGTACTACCGATGACTCCCAAACTAGGATGAAACAGCTGTCCAGTACTCCTTGGTTTTCAATGGTTCTCTGTTTTGTTTTCTTCCACGTTCCCCTGTGGAACATAGGGCTTCAAGCTAGTGGCTTGAAGTTTATGTAGCAGTGTTTATTTTACAGGATGGGGTTGCTAGCCTCATGCCCAACCTTTCCTCTTCACCAGCATTATTTCTGGCTTAGCGAGGTAAAGGAGTGCTCCGGCCGGGAATCGAACCCCGGACCATGTGCATGGTTGGCGAGTGTGCTAACCCCTATGCCACCGACGCACACAATGGTTCTCTAACTGATTTAAATCCCATGATCAACTCGTAAGAACTAATATATATATATATATATATATATATATTCCATAGACCAATGCTGGCCAATTTTTTAAGTTTTCTTATGCAACAAACGTCATGTAAGCTTCAGGCAATCACCTCTCAACTTGCATCTTATTAATGATCATATGGTTTAACTGACTGTCTTTATTAAATTATGATGTAACATTTAGCTATTTTTGAAGTAATCAAATAAGCTTTTAATGTAGTAGAAGAACTGTTCTTTTGGTTATTTTAGGCATTAGTTATTCACTAAAAGTAACTTCATTTTTAAAAAAATTACATACGATATTAAGCTATCGATTGTGCATATCTTTGACGGTGTGCAGGAATTGAACAAAAATTATATATTCTGGAAATCTTCAATAGCTTGAATTAAAATCGATATGAATAAAAGTAGACCAGCCTGTGTGTCATCAAGTCAACCAATAAGACCAACACTTCCGTTGTGTGTGCTACCTTATTGGTATTCATTATAGTGTGTGTTATGGATTTGCTTACACAAACGTGCATGTACTTACACACACACTCACACCCACTAAAAATTTATAAACATAAGCAAAATATAGGTTTAAGGTGAGGTGAAATTATAGGGAAATTTGACCAACAGCCTAGACACTGCCTTTTGTAAAGTTCCCTTGCACAATTCCTTTTAGGTTAGTGTTGTGCTACAGATAAAATAATAATGAAAGCAAAGTTTCAATTTTTCTCCACTAGTCCTTTTTCTGATTGGTCAATAGAAGACATCCCAATTTATACAAACTGCTGTAATGTAATAAAAGTTCTTCAATGGTAAAAATTCACAATCATTTATAATATTAGTTTGCAATTTGAATTATTGCAGAAAATTTGTTTTTACTCAGTATTTCGATTATTAACCGGAATCTTTAACCTTTATTCCCCTTATTAATACTACTACTTACTACTATTATTATTATCATCATCGTCACTATTATGGCTCTTGAACCAGTTGTTATCAGTCTTCGAAGACCAACATCGGATAAATCTTGGGGATTTGCACTTCAAGGTGGTGTAGATCAAGGTTTGCCAGTATTCGTTCACAAAGTGAGTTGTTGTTTTTCCTATTGTTCTCACTCAATAAAAGATATTTAAGCAAGTAAATTATGATCAGTTCACCTATTATAGGCTCGTTTCATGATATCATAATAGTAGTTATAAAAGTATTGACAGTAATGTAGCTGATTCCCTTCAGCTCTACACCACTTTGACAATGTGAGTAATCTGGCCTGTTTGAGGATCAAGAAGTGAGTTTTCAGATCTTGTATTAAGGATATTGTCATTCAACTAAGGGACTGGAGCTAGGAACTGTCACTGAATAATTACCCTTAACCTGTAATTAGTCAATCTTGTCTGTTATAAATTTTTATGATAACTTTGAGAATATCCACTCTTTTCAGTGATAAGGGAAGACAGACGCACATAACGCATGAAACGCAAGTACGAACATAGATATAGTAAGTAATTTTACTATTATCAGTATGCTTATAGGAACATGTGTTCTAAAGTTTCTCTAAATCGAATAAAGTATGATATGCGATTTTAAATTCAAACCCATGAATTCTGAGGCTAAAGATAAAACCTGTTGTTAGGCGTTTTCGCGCATAATGTGTCAGAGGCCACGGAAGATATTTTAGCTGAGTCAAAACGTTGATACACCACTATTAAAACAGCCAAACGTAACATCTGATACGATTACAGCACTCCTTTAATCACGTGATACAAAATCAGACACTGCGACCAACTACTTGAGGAAATTGAAATCGTTATTGACCGCCTGTCTTCTACTTTTTCAAGTCTATTGAAACAAAATCGAGGCAAGTTTGTTTTACTATAACTTATATACTCATTCACTCATTACAATCAGGAAAAGGTAATATTAAAACACAAATAATGTTGTTTTAAAAATGATCACGGATTTTTAAACTGGTTTGTAGTAAAGTTGGCATTCTTCTATTTTTGTTTATGAAAACACACTACTACCTGTTAAGTAAAATACAGTTTAGAATTTTTCAAGTATAACTATTCATGAAGCTTAATATGCTTGAAATATTTTAATCTTAATGTAAATAGAATTGACGTTTTGTTTTCTTTAGCTGAAATAAAATACTTCAGTTAAAAGTTCACTAATGTCATTCATTTCTTTTTTGAAATCTATGTTGGAATTAAATCACCAATTAGTTTGACTTATGTGTAAGCCTACTGTACACACCTCCGCTTCATTATAAATAAATATGACCTAGAATGTGGTGAATTTTTAAACCAATCACTTTGTATCTGCACAGATGACCTTGGGAAATAAACTGTTGGTCAGAATATTCGGAAGATTTATTATTGAACCATAGAAAAAAAAAAACATTTGTAGTCAGTTATTTTTAAAGATTGAGACAGTAAAAAATTCCTATAATATTGCATAGTCTAAGAAACATGAATAAATTAGATTTGTATACAACAATTGTGCGTGATGTAATCAAATTACTACTAAACTGCTTGCTGTACACGTCACCCAATGCAGTATTTAATTAACAAAGAATCAATTAAATCCCACATTCCTAAAGGCTATAGGACTAAATAACTAGAGAGAGATATTTTTTTATATTTAACTGACATATCTGATAGGTGAAGGACAAATAATTTTTTTAACGATTTATTTGGCTACTACATTTTAAGTTTAAGAAGCATATCACGAAGTAAATGTGTCACTTAGGTCGACACGCTTATTAAAAGAAGACAATTAAGGTTAAGTAGGCGTCATATTTAATTTTGAATAAGTACAATGTCTGTTTGTCACTTACGTTGGACAAAGTATTCTAGAATAGATTACTTTAAAAATAATAAAAAAATATTTACAATAGACAGTCAGCTGACGTTGAAATTAGATTACTAACCGGATGTTACATATGTGAGTCAGTATAAAAACTAAAAAAGAGTTGACATTTTGACTAGTGAAGTTATCAAACAGATGCAGTAATGTCCAACAGAATTAAGTTATTGAATGCTTTCTATGCAACACAGTTTTATCTCTCATATTCGCAACGGAGTATAGTGAAATAATTGAATTCTCAAAGGTAACTTTAATTATTTAAGGTAAAGTGATACCACCACAAGAAGAACTTCAATGCTCAGAGACAACCTAAATGTGCTATTTTGGAACTCATGATAAAAAGTATAGATGTTATTGAGATTAAGTGTGATGGCTTTATTTCGGTGAGTTGATCTTACTGAAATGCCACTACTACTGAAGGTGAGGCGAAAAAGTAATTTACGTGTGGATTAATACCAGGAGTTCCTGAGTCATCACGTTAGTATTGTAACCGTTAATGTGTAGAAGCGAACAAATTATGAAGACTTAACTTTACTATTCATATACAGTATTCTGGCTTGTCATGAAAACATGGAGTACATAATTATTATTATCGTACTAGATAATCATTAAGGTCTTTTCATTCCAGCAACTACCACGAAGGTCACAGGTTTGAATCTTGCCATAACCCAGACCTTCAATTCACATGGGATTCTCGCCGAAGCACTGAGAACAGACCCAGAAACTGCGGCAGATATGCTGACGCCATAACCGCAAAAAGTTTGGAGGGGAAGAAAGGTAGCTGTTGACTGGAAGAGAGGTTACCTTGTCAAGCTGCCAAAGAGGGGAGACTTACGCCTCAGCAAGATCTTGCATGAAAAACTCTTTTGTTCATGCCAAGTGAAATACTAAGTCGCGTCATCCTTGAGAGAATACAGGAAGCACTGTATGCAGAGCTCCGCCAGCCGGAACGAGCTAGATTCAGGAAAGGAAAGTCATGTGCTGATCAAACTGAAATTCTAAGCATCATCATCGAACAAAACATAGAATGGCAGTCAAACCCCTACCTCAACTTTATCGACTTCGAGAAGGCCTTCGACAGCGTTGACCGATAAGTAATTTGGAAACTGCCTCAACACTTTGGTGCACCCAAATCTTTGCCAGCCTCATTCAACAGCTGGCTGTATGACAATACCACCAGCCAGGTAATCCATAACGGAAAACTCAGGCGTCCAAAGCGAATACAGGAGAACGATTAGCTGGCTGCCTGTCTGCTACCACGGATGATATTCTTAATTGTTGTGGACTGGATTATGCGTCAGATTATGCGTGGGAGTGAGAAGACAGAAATACTCTGGACGACCGATAAGATGACTCTAGAAGATCTGGATTTCGCGGATAATATTTGTTTAATGTCACATAAACTAGAAGACTTGAAGACGAAAATCAACAAACAGCCTGAAGAAGCGGGCAGTGAAGAAAGGACTCCAGGTAAACACAGAGAAGACGGAGGTGATGAAAATAACTAGCCAACTAACAGGAACAAAAACCAGCACCAGTCACCATCAACGGGAGAGATTTAACAGAGGTTACTTTCTTCACTTATCTAGGAAGCATTCGTTCAACCTCAGGTGGATGGCAAGGATGAAGATGTCAGATACAGCTAGCGAGAATTGGAAAGGCAAGATACACCTTCATCAATCTGAAACAAGTTTTGGAATCATCTGCACTCAGGCAACGTAAACAACAAGATTCGGATTTTCAACATAAGTGTGAAGTCGGTCAGTGCTTCTGCTCTGGTAGGAAACTTGGTGCGTAACGAAAAGGATTTTGAACAGGTTGCAGACATTCATCAACAGCTGTCCTCGCTGGATCCATATTGAAGATCGGAAAGAATTAACAACAAGAAACTCTGGTTGTGAACAAACTAACCAAGAACCTGTCGTTCAACAAATATGTAGGAGAAAGTGGAAATGGATAGGGCACACACCAAAAAGACTGTCGAATGAAGTCGCGCTCAATGTAGGCCATTGCTCGAGTGGAATTTAAATAGGAAGAACCAGTGGGTCGTCCGAGGGTGACATGGAAAAGATCATGTGAGGAGGAGATGAGAGGTTATAGCCAATCCTGGACCCAGCTGAAGTGGACGGCATAAAATAGAACAAAGCGGAGCTGTGTTGTTGAAGCCCTAGGGAACAATAATAATAACATAAGAGCATATTTGTCATCCATCTGACAAGCTATTGTTTCATCACTGTATAATGTAGAAAGTTTGAGTAAGGTCTTTCCGACAGGTATGCCGTATGGTGATTCTAGGCAGTTTCGTTTACCCACAACCTTGATAAAAACAGTCGTTTCCCAAAAACAAAAGCTATGTTCACTTAGATCTGCAATCTAAAGGTTACTACTGAGGCAATCAGTAAAACCATGTGATACTTACTTTCATGTCATCATAGTCTAATCTTGTGATTGAATATGTCATTAGTTTGGACAGTACATTTATAAATGCGCTTACGAATTGAAGAAACTAAACATTCTGTGCATGAAATACTTATCATGTGGTAATACGGATTTGTAAAACTAGTCAGAAGTCATGTTGAAATGCCGAGGAAAGAAGACTAGATTGTACGCTGATTTGTTCTCTTGATGATGCAGGGTAGTTAACTAGATAGAGATTTTCACTAGTCACATCCAGTCAGACTTCGTCTGATATTAGCATCCCAGAGAAAATCGTCGTCAGGTGATTTTGGAAAAGAAGTTGGTTATTCTGTATGGAAAATCAATAGGAGCTTCAAGATAAATAAAGTCGGTGGTCGTAATAAGATCAATGCAGTTAAGATCCAGTTGTCTGTTTAATGATTTCGAAGAGTTTTACTTGTCTAACATATTGGATTTCATTGTCGTGCAGGTAATATATATCAGCTATTTTTCTGGTGTACTTCACAGTAATCAGTACATTCAGATGTCTAAAGGTATTGGATATCATGGGGAAATAACACCAGAAGAGACGCCTTTCATCTGTCTTTCATCACATGGAAGTACTATTTCCCGCCAAAATGATTTGCTTGTTTAAAAACTGCGTAGCCTCTAAGTTGTACCGATAACTTTTCATTTGATTACTCATCAAACCTAACGGCTTTATTGTAGAAATCGTCTCCATACCTTGAATACATTACCTCCTAATTTCTTGATAATATTTATCGTATTACATAACAGTAAATCTTAGAAACTTATCTTCAGGAAGCTTTATGATCTGTTGTCAAAACCATACACCTTCAATAATTCGAACTGTTGAGCATCAAGGACGAAGTCAACAAATTAATCTTTGATCTCCTCATATTACAACATATCCGCAGTGGAATGAATACTGCTAATGAATTCGTAGCTGAATGATGATTAATGTGTTGTTTAAGTTCAAAGTTTTGATTGAAATCAGCCACTAATCTACGGAAATGTGCTCACTAGGCCAAGGGAGATGACACCGCTTTACTCAATAGGGAATTGTTTGACATCTGATGTTAGCAGTTTAGCAGAAGAAATTCCTGTACGTATATCAAGCACTTTACTATAGAATAAATTAACTTCATTATGAGTCACTATGAGTACTCAGTAGCAAAAGCTAATGAACTGAATGGGATCGACTGAATAAGTATTAATGTGCTTTCACCTTCTTTAGTCCAGCTAAATGGATTTCACCTCCATCGATTAGATTCATCTTGAAATCATCTAAATCCCCATGAAACAATACTCGAAAATAAATCAGCTGCCTATTATTGAATGACTGTGGGATGGGCTTCCAAGTGTTCTGAGAAGAACTCGTGACCGCTGCACCAAATACAATGTTAGGACAAACACGCGCCAATGATAATGACTGGTGGTGATATTACATATCACAAACTTTCGGAAGTTAGACTTCATGGGCTGATGAATTCCTTCTCACTGATTGAGTGTTGTGACGTGTTCTCCTCATAACATGGTGCGCCTGGATTTGGTCGTCAGTAAATTTATGTGTGTATATTGATGAAGAGTCCTACGCTAGGCGAAAATAACTGTTCATTACTCCATAGTTTTTAGTCTTTCTCTAACTGATGTTGCTTCCTGGTGAAATCCAATTTGAATGAAAACCAACACTTTATAGAAAGTTTTTTTCCATTTGTTCAGGGTAACAGATATCTGTGTTCTTTAATTAATTTATGTTAAATTGATTTTTTTAATCTGAACAATCGAATATAAATTCGATTAAAATAAGTTGGCGAATTCCATGAAAGCAAGAAACTTAAAACTTACTAGTCTGGTCATTACATACAAACCATGCATTGTATCAGATTTCAGTCTGGTGTCTAAGCTGTTCTCATGATAAACTTAATTTTTTTAATTAGAGAAAAGCATTTGCATTGAAAAAAGGAATATGTACGAAAACTATGTTCATTGTTATTGCATGGGTTGAATCACTCCTAAAGAAGCATCTCACAAAAGGTAAATGCTAAAGTCAGCCAAAGGATTCTTTATATTCGTAATAACTGAAACAGTAGCTAATTATTCACTCAATGAATTGATTTCATCAATCATCAACACCAAATGGAGAAGTTAGGAGGAGTGGACTACAGCAAAAAGATGAAAAAGCTATCAGATACTCCTTGGCCTTTAAAGGCTGTTTGGATGACATCGATTCATGATCAGGTTAACTCTAAAATCTTAACCAGATTTATATTTTTTTGAAGTTGATTTCAGCTACGCTGAACAGTTAGTATCGTATACTCTGAAAATTCCTCAAACGCTTTTAGCTTATAAAAATTAAAAAAAAACTGGTTACACTACATCATTTCTGCTGTAATACAGACTAATATACTCTAAGATTAGAAATCACTTATTTATTAGTTGGAGGATTTCATCATAAGCTGATATCGGTTAGAGAACTATTGGGGAACCTGGGAGTACTGGACAGCTGTTGCGTGAGCCTAGTTTGGGGTTCTTCAACAGTACACACCAACCAACAGGATTCGAACCCAGGACCTTCTGGCTACAAGGCGAGCTCGTAGACCATTAGGTAACTGAGACCCAATCCAGTGGCCAGTCCATGAATTCCAGCTTCTGCCAATTCCCGACATAGCTCGACCACTTCACAATGTCTTCTTTGACAACCAACTGTCCTCACCTTCGACCTGCAGTACTCTATTGGTCACAACTTCCCACTATAACCCCAGGTGGCTACCCACCTGAATAGGGCCAGTCGTTAGGGAGCATCTCATTGATATTTAAGTAATTGTCGTGCTATGTCGTGAAGTGGCAGAAGTTGGAATTCGTGGAATGGCAATTCGATCGGGTCCCAGTGGCCTATTGGTCTACGAGCTCGCCTTGAAGCCAGAAGGTCCTGGGTTCGAACCCTATCGGTTGGTGTGTACTGCTGAAGAACCCCAAACTAGGCTGACGCAACAGTTGTTCAGTACTCCCAGGTTCCCCAATGGTTCTCTAACCGATATCAGCTTATGATAAAATCTCTTGACCAATTAAACAAAAACCCCTAGAAACCAATACTTGATAACTTATTTATTGATCAATATTTTGTCTTATTATGATCAGGTGGTTAGACTGAGATAGTCAGGTGGTGTAATTGTGTCTTAACAGTCCCGCATTTTCAATAAACACGATAGTTTGTTAAAACCTCGTATTTCTTGTAGAAACGAAATGCAATAACTAGTCCGCTCTAGTAAATCAGTTTCGGTAGAGCATACAGACGGTTGCTTTCTCCCCCTATTACAGTCTTGAGTTTTAGGTACGTATTTTAATCATTAGTTTATGTAGCTTATTTGATAACATCCTTTCAACGAACTTCAGTCTTTCAAGTAGACTTGAAAACTAGATACTCCACTGTGAATACTGTTTATTCGAAGAAGAAACAACTGTACACTGAAACGTGTTAACAGAAATAAGCTAAATCTTTGAAATCAATTAAAAGTCATAAGGTTACTGAAAGTAACATCAGCTCAAGATTTCTTTTTTGATTTATCAGAACACTTTAGTGTAGCTACTTTGTTGACTGTTAGGTAAGCATTTATAAATCAGAAGTGACTATTAAAGTACTATCTATCCGTATTAGCAAAGTCTTTTGTGAAATTAAAAAGAGTGATTTTATTTCAGTAACATGAATTCTGGAAATTTCAGTCAGGCAAACTACACTCACTTACGTGTCCTAAGCCAATCGTCAATTACCTTATTGAATTGATTTCTTCTTTTATTCTGACCATACGTTACTACTGCTCAATGTAATCACATTTCAGACTCAACTGGTCTTCTGGAAGTACGGTGCCTCATCATATGTAATAAATATTCCAATTAGAAGGGGTGATAAACATTCACATTTACGTTCACACTTTTACTCAACTCAATAATTATCTAATCTCATTAATACTTGCATTTTACTTCCGTCTCATACAAGCTATTGAACTAGGAAAGGTATAACAAATGATTTTTAGTCTCCTCATATATTGGGCATTCTGTAAACATGTCTCAAAAGCGAACAGTGTGATGAGGTGAACTACTTCTCAGTACAAATGGTCACTTAGTGCCGGCTGAATATTTTACTGGCTTGAGAAATGACTCAAACTGGGAGGTGTTGTTAAGGATGTTTGTTTTGATACGACAGTTTCTTTGGAATAGATTCCACAAGGAGCTAATACGGCTGTGTGAATTAGTCTAGTGGTAAATATATATATATATATACATATATATCTTCAAGCTAATCCTCCTTACAGAGATCAGTCCTGTTACATTCTCTTCCATCTGCGAGAGTTAATTACATGCCAAATATAGTCAGGTTTCGGCTCAATGCTTTCAGAAGACTGCACTTTGTCAGCTTCCTCATGCAAAGAAACCGTGACGCTTAGATGTTCTAAGTTATCGAGCTGTTTCCCAGCTAACAAGTCGTTTTCTGAAACGGTGATGTCAAACACTGTCATGTATATCAATACGTCTATAAAAAAAACTGTCTAGGGACAAAAAAATTTGTAAATCTTGTTGACTTTATTGATTCATGTCACTTTAATTAATAACAGTTATTTTTTTCTGATGAACAAGATTCATTTTGAAGACTGTCCATTAACTGTTTGGTCTGAACTCTATTGGTTCAATCTTTTTTTGTAGAACAAGTGTATTCTCAAGGATTTCATTTTCATTGTTTGCTATCCTGATTAGAAACGATGACAGTATAAACAACAGTGGATAACATACCACATAAATAAATTCGCAAAATAAACACACTAATGTACGATTTATATTGTACTACATTTTGTTAGAGATTACTTCAACTTTTCATTTTAAATGAAGATATCTGTATAGAATCTACGTGTCCTGGTTCAATTATAATAGCACGACATTAATGGTTCGATAAATGTTTTTAGTAACTTATGTGATCTATCAGCTTCCGGCATTCATTTGCACATGAGTCAGTTTGTTAATCAGATTTACGTGTGATTAGCCGAATATACTTTTTATTTTGGTTGGTGATGAACGGCAGTGAAATCTAGGATGTACATTTCCTCCTATGTGGGACTCGTTAGTCGGATGTACCTGTATCTCTAGTGATTGATACTGTCCCCTCGAGACTCGAACCCTGCACCCATTGTTTCCACCACGAAAGCGTTAGTCGCTAGTGAGATGGAGCACGACAGTCACCTCCTGTGGCTCCACCATCCACTCACCTCAGTTACAGTTACATCCAGCTGAATAGCCACAAATAAAACGAAATGCGCACTCTGGACACCACTCCTGGTCACCATCGATAAATATAACACCACATGAATCTTCAGACATCATCAAAGCGCCCTCACCAGGGGCTGACACATTAAGAGAGACCAAGCATTTAGATTCAATATAGTCAATGGGTAAATTAGCCTAAAACAAATAAATATATTTTTTCAGATTATATATAAAGATTTTTGTTGGCTAAGTGAGAAACTAGTTTCCATGCAACCCCAGAGTATTTCACTTTCGCAATAATCAGTCTATTTTACTTTGCTGTATATTTTTTTTTTTAATGTTCAGGTCACTCGTAATGGGATAGCGCATAAATCTGGACTTGAACCTGGAGATGTAGTAATAAAAATTTGTGCTACACCAGTGACTGGAATGACACATGCTCAAGTGAAAGCAGAAATTCTAAGGGCTGGTAATGACTTAGATTTTATGGTTAAAAAGTAAGTTCAAATTAGTCTGACATTATATAATCACTGTTGTCTTTTTCAATGGATTTTATTGTATTTCCTGTGTAAAAACTATTTGCTATGAAGGAGGAGGAAATTAGATCGACTTTTAACATGAATATGCATAAAACAGACTACTGAATCTAGTAGTTTTATTGTAACCCTAGAAGACAAGAGTCCTGGTAAAGGAATGTTTATCTGGAATTTGGTACCTACATATACAGTAAAATTATGCAAATCCTACATGAAAATCGTCATTTGCACAGACCTTCCATGTTGTTTGACTTCTGTCCTTCGAACTGAGTCTCTTTGTCTTCGTTTCGTGTCTCTCATCTTTTGCCGCAACGCTGAATCATTTGGTCTCTTTGACGTCAAATCTCTCTCTCCGCTATTCGATATTTTTATGCCGATGGATGTCTTTATATACTACTGGTAAATCTTATCAGTAACACACGCCAAAAAATAAGTAAATTTGAAACAGATTCACATAAAAACTCGTAAATGGATAGTATTGATTAATTATAAGCTAAGAAATTTGCTTCTAACTATTCAACAAAGCTGATAACTCATTTTCGTAACATCAACTTCCCAAATACCTAAGTGGTAAAGTCTCCCGCTGTACAACTGAGTGACCCGGTTCTAAATCTCAAAAAAGACATATGCTCCTTCAGAACTGCATATACGCTTTGCTGATGAATGCCGACAAGCATGAAACTTAGGTCCAAGGCTTCCTGACGATTGTCTTCATCAGTCTGACCATTACATTTGAGTGCACCGAGTTGAGGAACCACCTAGAATGGTGGCTACATTGCAAACTTGACTGACAGAATTCAGACTGCACCAAAAAATTGATCAGACTCATGACACTAGTTACTACCAGGTGTACAATCAGAGAATAAAATAAACTTCAGAAATGTATAGATAAGTAGCTAGAGTACAACACTGCCGATTTCCAGATTTCAGGTATTAGATATATTCTAATGTGAACAGCAATTGATAGCTTCATGCATTTCACAGTCGACTCGCCAGCCATACACTCAAATAGAATTGACTAACCAACAAAACTCTCAAATCACTAGTACCTAGATTGGACAGGTCAATAAACTGTAAAACGTACGAACAGTTTTCCAGTTATTCAGAAAGTATATGGTATCTGCTAACATTTCTAGAGTTTATTAGCTTTAGAAGTTCTCAGATGTAATTTGTAAAGTTAGTAAGATCAACTAGAAATTGAAATTATGTGGAAATCATTTCCGAAAATGAATAGATGTTCATTTAGATGAAACGAAAGTTTTGCAATGAACGACAATTTTATGTCACAAAATACATACACAGTTTATATATACATATATATACTTCAAGTGTCCTTTGAAATCCAGCCATTTCAGTCGATTATTCAACTAATCACTTGTCACTAGTGCTGAACGTGCTTAACATAATTAACTAACAGTTAACTGCTTAATTATGCATTCATGCATTTCATACACCATAATGAAGACATGCCACAGAACTCATCGATTTATTATAACCTTCATTTTTAATTCATTTAAACAATTTGGTTCAATTTTAATTCAACACCTTCCTACTATAACTTTTCAGTTACGCCAAAAAAAATTAATTTACTTTTAGTGAGTTAGTTTAAACAAAAGATGTAAAATAAGGGTAAAAATGGTATTCAAACATTATCTAATATTTACGTGTAGAATATTTGTGCACCATGTGAAAAAAAAACAACTTTTCTCGATTTAAGGAAATTATATCAAAATATAAATCACCTAAAAGTGTGTTGAAATATTTGGCAAGATAGTAAAGATAAAAAAATTAGATATACCTAATAAGGTGTCAACACTTATGGCACTGTCAAAGATAAAATAGGGATGCAATATCTTGAGTAATAGAATCCGTTGTATAAGCTTAGTTATTTAGCACTTGGATATGTGTTAGTCCAACTGATTTATATGTGGAGTTTTTATTACAAATTTATGTCATCTAGAAGATTACTGAAAGCCATGAAACCGGTGCTAATGTTTCATCTCAGTTTGAAGTTCATCAACTGGCACAGTGTCCATCCACAACAGCTGTAAGAATCATTTAAAATCTCTGAGGTTATCTATAACTCTCTAGATGACTCCGGTTTGTGGACACTAATAAAATTATCACACACCTACCAAATACACCTAGGCCCAGAATTTATTACTAACAAATTATGACATAAATTACTAAATATTGTAAATTTAAATCGCGACCAATGAAGTTTATTCAATAGGATATGAAGATAGTAACTCATCTAAAGCGTTAAATATCAAAGGCTATACATAATGAACAAGAAAAGGTTGCAATTTCTGCGTCACTGGATTCTGATCATGTGGATATGGTTGTCAAATAACATGACAGTCCTGAAGTCGACCACTTCCAAGTTCATAAATTTCGCTGTGGTACACATTCACATTCGTAAAACTTCTTGTAATTTAGGTGTATATAATTAGGACTGAATATTTATAAAACTCAAAGAATACTTTTATAAAATAGGGTTATAATCACTCAGATGTATGTACAAGAAACGACTAAGATGATAAGGGTGAATGTATAAGTATAAAACTTGGGGACTGTGGTAGAGTATAACTCCATTATGGATGAGATTTTATTTTCATAAATCACACAGTGTTATACAGTAATATTAACTGATGACGTTTCGAGCACATATTATTGCTCATAATCATATCAACTTCATGATATGATATGAAATGATTATGAGCAATAATTTGTGCGCGAAACATCATCAGTTAATATTACTGTGTAACACTGTGTGACTTATCAAAATAAAATCTTATCCATAAAGGAGGATGAATGTAGCTGGTAAAACAGGTGTGAAGCTTAGGCTTCAAATAATGAAACAATGCCTATTGTAATGGTAGAAATAATAATTTGCTTTTAAATGATTGGACTTTCATTTATAACCTATTTACTAAAAATATTTTCTTTTTCAACATATTTCCGGAAGCCTAGTGTTTGGTGAAATGTCACAGATTTCATTACTAGCAGCCGTTTAAAATGTTACAATGTAAAATTTGACATTATCATCTTGGATATCAAACTATTCTTTGTTCAGTTAAGAATATGATTTGGGCCATTAAAAACTTTCGTTTTAGGTTGTCAAGAAATGCTTGCGTTAACAACAGACAAAGATGTTTAATTCAATTTTAGATTTTCTGGTCGATTGATTGGACCGAAGTGCTCGGTCTCAGGTTAACATGTCGGCTTGTTGTGCAGATGCTTCAGCGTTTGAAACTATGGGTTTAAGCCTCTGTGGGAACATCATCACTCACTGAGGAGTGCAGGTACATCCAGATGACGAGTCCCAAATAGGACGAAATGAGCATCCTGGATTCCACTGCTGATCACTATCCACCAAGACAAAGATGTTGTTCATGAGAATTAAAATAACACTGTCCACTATTTAATTTCATACTTATTATCTTTTGAAATTAGATGAAATCAGCATGAACTTGTTAGCTGTACAGTATTTCATCCGTATCGATTATTGTTAATATCGTCTATTCATTAACAATAATTCTGTTCAGAGTACAAATAAAATGCATATTAGTATTCCAATCTCAAGATTACAGTATGCATTAGTTGGAATTCATGGGCCATTGGATCGGGTCCCAGTGGCTTAGTGGTCTGCTTGCTCGCCTTGTAACCAGAAGGCACTGGGTTTGAACCGTTGAAGGGGTGCGCACTGTGAAGAGTCCCAGACTGAGACAAAACAGCTGTCCAGTACTCCCAGGTTCTCCAGTGGTTCTCTAACCTATGTCAGCTCATGATGAAATCCTTTAACCAATCAATCAGATCCCTACAAACGAATACTTGAAATTTCCCATAATCGGGGTTATTAATCTCGGTAGTAATATAAAAGACTTCTTAGTTCTAATCGCAAAACCCCTATTTTTCTTTATTCAGAAGTGTTCAGGTATAAATTTATCAAACTTTCAGATGAAAAATCTATATACTCATTGTTACTTGCAGCAACAATAAGCTTGAAACGCAGTGTAAAAAGACAGAAAAGTATTCCAGAAATCTCAGTTTGGTTAAATGCTCAAATTAATTCCATATTAATTTGTTTATTAGATATATCACACAGTGAAATAGTATTATTTGAATGCCAGCCACTTTTATTCCTGCATTGTTAAGAATTCTCTGTAAGCTTTTGGAGGTTTCTTCTTTGTATGGAAGAACTACTGATGATAAAATAAAAGTGGCATTCAACCCCCTCCCCCCACAAACTCAATTAGAAACAAGCCTTATAGGTTAAATGATCATTCCTGTGGAGCCAATTAAACAAAACAATTTAGTTTATCTAAAACTCTACCTGAAGTGATTTTCAGGTCAAATGCATAGGTCAAAGTAGTAGAAAGGGGTCAGTCAGACTAGCAGAGCACAAAGACCTAGCGAAATCTAGATCAGTTGACCCTAATAAGATAAGAAATCTAGAGAATAGTGCAACTATACCACTCACAACATGCAATTACACATAACTATACAATAGGATGGGATAAGATGACAGTTTTAAAATCCAATGTAACAGGGGGGAGGGAGAGATTGACAACAGAAGCTTTGTTTATCGAATGAACTGCAAACACGTCTAATAGGAATGATTCAACACCTGTCCCAGATATCTGGAAAATTCTACGACAATTAGGAAGGAATAAAGAAAGTCATTAATAGGGAAATTTAGAAGTTGTATGATTATAACTGATGTGATTATGAACAATAAACTGTATTCGAAACCTTGTCATCCAGTAAATAATACCGTTCCACTGTGTAATATATCTAATAAACAAATTAATGTGGAATTACATATTACCACAGTGCCCAAGTTTCACATCTATGTTAAAAGCTTAATAAATAAAGTACATATCCTTTAAACAAACAGTTGATTCTGGCTAACTGATACTACTCAAGTGATAGACTACAGCATTGAAAAACTTTTTTCAGATAATACATAATTTCTGTGCTAAAGGATAAATTCATTCAAAATGCAAATTTATAATCTGTTAGCTATCTTGACGACTGTTAATGAAAAATAGATCATGCAAAATTAATTTATTCCTTATTAATTCTGTAATATCTACTTTTAAGAAGCATCCTGATAAAATTATCAGTTTTGACCTGCTGAGGATAAGTATATTTTCTTCTTCATAAATAAAGTACATTTTGCAAAATGCTGGTGATGACATATATTGGGTTGTGCATACTGTTCAACACATTAGTTTTTCTATACATATATATATACATATATATATATATATGCTATTAATATAACTCCTTTTACTACCTTAACTTTGAAGCATCTTTTCTCAATAGCAAAGATGCAGATGTGTGCAACTCAGAACTGCTATCGACTGTTTTTATTTTGAAAAATATTGCTGCAAGAATGGTAATTTGATGGGTGTTTTCGTTAAGTTTAACTTCTTTACAATCAAGAAGTTAAGCCAAGTCAGTGCTTCTATGTGGTTCAAAGACTCACTATATCACTGAAAGCATTTCCATCAGACTGCTGTAGACTTTTATCCATATCTGCCTTCACTCTATGCTGAAGATTAGATGGCCAGAAGGGACTGACAACAAGAAACTCTGGTAGCGGAACAAACAACAACCTATTGCCCAACAAATTTGCCAAAGGAAATAGAGGTGTATTGAACACACACTGAGAAGATTATTGATTGATATAACTCTCCAGTGGCTGACCATCCAGTGGAATTTGAGTGGGAAATGAAGTGTTGAGCGTCCAAGACTAACATGGAGGAGATGGTGTGATGAGGAGATAAAAGCTTATGGTAACTGATGGAGTCATCTTTATAGGACTGCAGAGAACAAGACAAAATGGACATGTGCTGTTGAAGCCCCATGTTCCTCTCGGAACCCAAGGCAATAATAATGTAACAATAACAAAGTCGAGTATTAACTAACTGTGACTATATGCTCTCTTAATTTTCTAACTTGAAACATTAGTGATTCTCATCTCACTTACACTGTTTACCCCTAACAGAAAAATAACTAAAGTCTACTTTAGAATCCCACATGTCCATTTTTGATTTCATGATTCACTCACGTACACGTAAACATATCCAATAGATACATCAGCCCACACGAATATTAACCTTATTCTTAAATAAAACAAACAGAATAGTTCATACTTTACTTGAAATTGAGAAAGTCACAAAGTGACATATCACTTATTCCATGTTATTTCGAGTTATTTTTATCACTTGTAATACCTTCTGTTCATTTATCTATGTTCTACACTAGCCTAAAGACTGTATTTGATAGCTTACTTTAGTTTACATTCTCTAAATTTTTATTACTTACTTCATTTACCGAAAGACATAAACACTTCAGCTATTTACTTCTTCAGCGTAAAACTCAGTATCCTTTTCTTATATTAGTTTGCACTCCAAGTAGAACATAGGGCTTCAAGCTTTGACGCTTCAGTAGCGGTGATGTTGTTTCTGCGGGATGGCGTTGCTAGACACTTGCTTATACCTACCTCTTTTCCATATTTACCACTGACCAGGTGAGATTTAGCAGCACATCAGGTGAGGGTCGAAACATGATCATATTGTTTAGTTGGCGAGCGTTCAACACTTGAACCACCAACGCATCTTACCCTTACTACTATTAGTATGGCTTTTATTTATACATGTGTCTTATTTTATAATTTTTGTTTAGACGTGACTTCAATGTGGTTCAATACAATCAGACAATGCAACAGATAGCTGCTGCCAACAAACCAGTAGAACAAGCATCTGGGTCACCTGAACCACGGGCTGAAATAGTTGAAGAACATTTATGGAGACATGGTGGTCCAACATTTAAGAATGTTCAACCAAAGTCATACAAGATCCTTGAACAACAGTTACCTCAGTCAAATATGGGAGGTAAATATACTTTTTGTTCTTTTACATATTCGTATATGTATATACATATGATTTAAAATAATGCTAAACTTGCTAAAAAAAGTTGACGTGTAAGTGGTTGGTTGTACTTAAAGGAGACCTTAACTAACAGCACTTCCTAAATACTTCTCCTCCTATTACCCTTATCGGTAATCTACCCAACATGTAAGTAAAGATTAACGAACTAGAAGTAAACAGGCTTGTGACTTAGTAGTGTGCCCTGATGAGAATTATATTTATATTACAGATTAAATGGAAAATTTAATAAGTAAGAATACTGGCTCGTGTAGCAAGCTCAAGAGTGCGCTTAATGATAGCGCAATGAGAAAGTGAGCCAAGTGCGAGTATTCACGCTGGAAGAACAATAATATGGCGACATATCACTTAAATGAGGATAAACAAAAGTTCACAAATTCAAGTGAAACTAAAGACTAATTTAAAAACAGAGGGCGAGGCAGAAAAACTACAGCGATAAAACAAAACATATTTCAGAATAACACATATATTTAGATGACTAAATAAAAAAATAAACAAACAAGTTGAAGGAAAAGAAGAGGACAGAAATCTTGTCACTAGGCGTGAAGCCAGTTGAAAGTGACTACAGAGAACCAGGTGGCAGAGAAACGCGATACAGAAGCCCCACATTCCATCAGAAATCCTAAAAATGCTTCGTAATAATTGCAAGCTTGTGTAAAACGGTAAATTTTCTCAGCGTAATGAAATCAAAGAAATCTCTAAAACTGGCTCCCCCCACAAATCTGTAAATTTCGATAATCTATAAATATTTCGATCAATGAGACGATCTCTAATAATGGGTTGACTGATTTGAACGAGTTGCATAAATTCAAATCACAACTTACACATTCTATCTCACGAAAGCATTCAGCTTGGTCGTCACTTCTAAAATTCGCTTCAAAACCTCAACAATAAATATCTCTACTGTAGAACACAGGCGATGAGTAAGTAAGCTAGTGAAACTCAATCTAGATGAAATTATCAGAGAGTAGTACAGTTAGAGAGTAGCCGAATTCCAGAATTCTAAATTGACATTCTCACTGACCACAATTCATACGATGAACAGAATATCTCTCGATGGATCTTCTTATCTGAAATTATAAACCGCCATCACAGTACCACACAAAATCACAGATACCAAATCTCATCCACGTTATTTATCACATCATTTCATAAGCCTTTCTATAAATTATCCAGATTTGATTTGAGAACAGTAAATATGACTGAAGACTCTTTCTGTTTGGACACGTAGAAGCAGTTTTCTTGCTTATCCCACTGTTCATTATCGTAATCGTGTGTTACTGAAATTTTCATTTTAGTTATAGCAAAGAGTTTTGATGCAAATCAATCAGGTAACGTCTGTGTGCTGGATACCTTTTTCCACTTACTAAATAGGCTGAAACATTTTTCACTCTGTTTACTGCAATTGGTGTTTGAGTACTAATTATGCCTTTAGAACAAGCTTTCTGATTGAGGTGGCTTACCAAATGCTTCAGATTTTACTTTCCAATATGATTTTTACCAAATCAATGCGTTTCTTCTTCTTTCTCTTCTTCTTCTTAAAATGGTGAAACTTGAAGTGAATTTCGCTTCTCGAATTGTGTCGAGTTGTTACATGGCAGAAAGTTGTATAAACTTGTTGTGCATGCCAAGCTTATAGCCTTTACTGCTTATTATATTGTTTAACTCATTCACGGTCAATATAAGCGTCAGTTGATAGTATGTGTAGTCAATAAGTAACACATACATATGTGTAGCTAAACGTGTCCAGTGAAGTCCTTGTGCTTCTGATTCACTCGTATTTTGATTCGTTACACATGTAACTGAACAAGTGAAACTGGGAATTTTAGTAAGAAAAATATTTGTACTCTATTAAGTGAGGGTAAACCGTAATACACGAGATTATTGAATGAATAGTCCTGATTTAGAAAATAGTATCATATATACTTGGAGATTTTGCCTTCAAGAAGCAATCACGTAGAGGGAACACTATTAATGGTCATTGCAAATAAAATCCTGCCAGCCTTTCCGAAATTCGAAAAGGCAGATACAGTATTCCCTTATTCGCTAGGTATTTTTTCTGTAAATCTGTACTGTTAGGTAGGGTAATTGCTCTTTACACTAGTGTCTAAGCTTAGTGTTAGGATAAGGGTTAAATTTAGGATTAACAGTCAGGATTAGGGTTATTAGTGGGCGGAGGTCAAAGAAAAGTGTCGGAAATATCAATAGATCTCAAAGTGCCGTGACATACAGTTACCTGGGTGAATGCATATATCGTGCATGGTAGGATTTCTCCATGGATCATCTGTGTAGTGACTGGGAGATATGTTTACGACACATAAGCGGCAGATATATAATACAGTATCATGCCTGCAGTGTTTTCCAGTGCATTTTGCAACGACTATTCGGCTTTATTGCATCTGAATTCTGATTGGTCGTTCAACGTCACTGTAATATTGGCTATGATAGTTTCACTTTCCAGAAAAATCTAATGCGACTTCAACATATGAAGATGTTGAAGCAAAAGAACAAGTAATTGAAGACTAGTAAATATATATTTTAATTAATCTGAAAGATTAGAAGGGATGAATAAATCTGCTTAACTGAGGAAGATTTTAAACAATATCAACAAGTGCTGACGACAGTCGTTTTCTAAAAACACTTCACAAATTTTGAAGATTTCTGAAGGTTTATTGAATCTAGAATAAGTCATATCACCGCATATTTCCTGTTTAATATGTATAATACTAACTAACAGAAACAAAAGGTATAGAACAGATAACTAGCTTCACATAAATGAACTCTGTAAAGTTGTAAAAGTTATTCTGATACGAATGCTTTATGCGCTCACCTTGAAACGCTGCATAAACTTGTAAATTTGGCACTTTAAAAGTCATTCTTAGAGTCTATTAACTGTGAATAAAATGAAAAATGTGCAATGGATTCCAATTTTGTCAATATACTCACAAAACGTTAGTGATCCAAGGTCTATTTTTATTTATTTCAACACAAACTAGACACACACTAAGTAAACTTGATAATAAGAATACTAATTGTACACAAGCCTTCAATAGTCTTTCAACCACAGGCTGGTTGTAACAGCAAAAGACAAGACACGGAGGCCAGGGTATATTCTGAAGTGATCAAATCGCTATTTGCATGTATACAGTTTTATATTCTATAACCAATCACTGACTGTGTTTTATTTGTTTACATTAAACGATATGAAATAGAATGTTCAGATACACATGTTATATTCTGTTGCTAAAGAAATACTGAACTCTGGCAATAAGTGGGAACTAAATTCTACCGGGACACTGTCTGTATCACACCACCACATAGTGAAACGGATGGTGATGTCGAGGCCACCCACGACTAGACCAGGAAAGCATGACCGAAGATTCATTACTCTCAAACCTCTGTGGAGATCCATAGCACTCAGCACTAATATCATTCAATTGCTTCTGTATGGCTGAGACTCAACGCGTCTTTTAAGGCGTTTCCAATCGACTGCAGACTTCGATCAACAGGTACCCTTAGTCGACAATGAATATCGGGTGGTCAATAGAAAAGGATGAGCATTAAAGAAGTCTGGCAGTGCGACCGACTAGCTGGTAATCTGTCGCCCAACAAATATGCAGAAGAAAAATAAGATGGATGGTTTGGGAATATCCTGAGGGGAGAGATGAGTGACATCACACACTAGGCATTTGAGGAAAACCCTAACAGGAAGTGACGGTTTTGCCTCCATTGGGTGACATGGAAAACAGTAAAGGAAGGGGGACTGAAATCTTGTCAGTAGTCGTGAAGCCAGTTGAAAGTGACTACAGAGAATCAAGTGGAATCGAGATGTGATTTTGAAGCCCTTCAGTATATAAGAAATCCTAAAAATGCTTCGTAATAATTGCATGCGTGGGTAAAGTGGTAAATTTTCTTAGCCTAATGAAATCAGAGTAAATTTGTAAAACTGGCTTCACCCACAAATCTACCAATCTCTATTATCCATAAACATTTTGATCAATGAGACGATCTCTTCTAATGGGTTGACTGATTTGAACGAGTTGCATAAATTCAAATCACAACTTACACATTCTATCTCATGAAAGCATTCAGTTTCTTCCTCAGTTCTAAACTTCGCTTCACACCCCCAATATTAAAAGTCTCTAATGTTGAACTCAGGCGATCAGTGAGTAAGCTGATGAAACTCAATCTAGATGAAATTAATAGAGAGTAGTACAGTTGGAGAGTAACCGATTTCCGGAATTCTAAATTGGCATTCTCACTGACCACAATTCATACGATGAACAGAATATCTCTCGATGGATCTTCTTATCTGAAATTATAAACCGCCATCACAGTACCACACAAAATCACAGATACCAAATCTCATCCACGTTATTTATCACATCATTTCATAAGCCTTTCTATAAATTATCCAGATTTGATTTGAGAACAGTAAATATGACTGAAGACTCTTTCTGTTTGGACACGTAGAAGCAGTTTTCTTGCTTATCCCACTGTTCATTATCGTAATCGTGTGTTACTGAAATTTTCATTTTAGTTATAACAAAGAGTTTTGATGCAAATCAATCAGGTAACGTCTGTGTGCTGGATACCTTTTTCCACTTACTAAATAGGCTGAAACATTTTTCACTCTGTTTACTGCAATTGGTGTTTGAGTACTAATTATGCCTTTAGAACAAGCTTTCTGATTGAGGTGGCTTACCAAATGCTTCAGATTTTACTTTCCAATATGATTTTTACCAAATCAATGCGTTTCTTCTTCTTTCTCTTCTTCTTCTTAAAATGGTGAAACTTGAAGTGAATTTCGCTTCTCGAATTGTGTCGAGTTGTTACATGGCAGAAAGTTGTATAAACTTGTTGTGCATGCCAAGCTTATAGCCTTTACTGCTTATTATATTGTTTAACTCATTCACGGTCAATATAAGCGTCAGTTGATAGTATGTGTAGTCAATAAGTAACACATACATATGTGTAGCTAAACGTGTCCAGTGAAGTCCTTGTGCTTCTGATTCACTCGTATTTTGACTCGTTACACATCTAATTGAACAAGTGAAACTGGGAATATTAGTAGGAGACATTAGGTTTAGAAGAATTATAATGCACCAGATTATTGAATGAATAATTCATATATATTAAGGAATGTCTTGTTGATTTAAAGGTTCTTAAATCTTTGGAGAATCAGTGAATATTTCTTCGAATTACCCAGCATGATGTTCTAGGTGCATGTTGACTCTTTTCTATGATTGTAGTGGAATTTTATTTCAGGTTATTATGCATTAATGAATTGGTTTACTTTATTATAAATGTGAAACACTTAAATATAATTCGTATTTGTTATGGGGAGCAATTCATAAGTGTTTCCTCATTCTCACAGCCTAATCCTTCGAATAAAGGAAGGTGAATCAAACAAATTTAAATTAACTGCTGAAAGTATTCCTGGATGCATTTTCACTAAGGCTTATCTCAGAATTGTAAGACTAATGCACAGGCGAGTCTAATATTGCAAAAGATTAATAATGGCTGGCGAAATTTTTTATTAGGTAAAACAATAAATTTTATTTTTTGGGTTGAACTTTACGCTCATGTTCATGGTCATTTTGTCTGTTTATCTTATATTCAAGGTCCTGCACCAGGTTCCGTTTTCGATCGTAGTTTAGATGAACGATCACCTTATTTACAAGCTACTGAGAAGACTATTCAAAAAGCCTATGGAGAATCATAGATGAAGTCTACAAATCAAAGTTTAAAGACGTTGATTCAGACATTCACACTCATATATATATATATATATATATATATACGAATACACTTTTGTTTTCTTACTTTTACGATAAAACCTGCAATGCCACAATAACCTTTCTTAATAATTATAATTCCGTTCATTCGCTTAATGTAATTAGATATTAAAATTCTTATTTATATACACTTATTACTGATACAAAATATCGTTTATTTTGAAGGTGTTGCATTATTAACACATCTTCTACCCTTCCTTCCCCTTCATTCTTTATCTCGTTATTTTAATTGTGTGAAGAGATCAAACAGTCCCTTTTTGTAAGATTAATATCTTTTTGAAAAACAGACATACGACTACAATATATATAAGTGGCTCATATGCATTTCAGTTTACTTCCTCTGACTTCACTCTGTTTTTCGTTTCCCTTCTAAATTATTAATATTGCAATTGTTTAACAGATTTTCGTCTTCCAAATAAACACCTCATTTAACAAACAAAGTCATCGTTTCTTGTTTTAAGCCAAAAATTACTCGAAACTTAAATAAAATATGAACAGATATTTATATCAATTTTCAGTGGCAAATAATACTCATCACTGAGCTGTCAACTCATTGCTTTCGAAACAAATTATCGCTTTGACTATGTTTCGTGAGTGCAATTACTTCAGATAATATGGAAGCCAGAGAAGTTCAACAATAGCGTCTCAGCGGTGCGATCTCTCCAGTGACCTTGAACGCATGCTAGTCGTTGGCTAATGGCATCTGTCATTATCACAGCTGAAATATCAACGCTATTCATCAGCTAAGCAGCAAATTTCACGCAGATCACGTCTTTAAGTTCTGTTTCGACAATATGTAAATGGCCCGTTAGGGTTAGGATTAGGGTTAAGGTAAGTATTGGGGTCAGGGTTAGGGTCAGAGTCATAACTAGCATTAGGGTTAGAATTATGGCTTGAATAAAGGTTATGATTAGGGTTAGGATTGAGGTTACGATTAGTGCTAGGGTCAGGATTAAGGTAAGGGTTACGATTATGGATAGATTTATAGCTGATTTCATTTATTTTAATTTGTTTTATTATCTACATTTTCCTGGTAAGTAGTCGTCGTGGCTGAAATTATCCCGCATGCTCAAGGTCATTGATGGAGTGAGACGCTCAAAGGTGATTTTCGTCCATGTTAGTCGGTTATGTTGGATTGCAGTTCCATAGCCGTTCGTTTACACATTGGTTTTATGTTCTGTTGGCATTTATAGCTGATTTCCATGTACTGATAGCATTCTTTTGTAAAATAGTACTGTTCTTCACACGAAAATAGCTACATTTTGACGTAGTCTTCATTGAATGACACTATGTCGAAAGCTGCAGCTTCTACAAGAAATAAACTATTTGTGTAGATGACATTACCCCCCAACTACCCCATCTTCTTCATTGTAGAGATGTTTTGACGCATTCAGCATGAAACATTAATCATTACAACCAATATGCTAAGTGTGTCGCAGTCAGATTAAATGACGCAGACACCAACATAACTAGCCAGGAAATTAGAATTCCTATCAATCCAGAAAACATACAACAAAATTTTATTAAAAACTATTGACAAAACAAATTTGCCGAGCGAAATTTCAACCAACATGCCGGATAAGTCCAGGCGTCGTCGTTCCTCTTACTGGAAACCATAGTAACTCAACTGAGGGCTTTTGGGGAGGACTGCACAACAGAATAAGGGAGATGAGTGATTCACAAAAGCAGCTCATCTCCAGTCACCTTGGTGAACAAATGTAGAGAAACTAGTCTAACTTAGCAACTGATGCTCCTCATTATAATTAGGACATGTTTTTAAGTCATATCAGCGAAAGATATCCTGTTTAATGTGTTTTCATGCATTTTCTTGCAAATATTCGTCAGTTTTTGTGCAAAAATTCCTCATTTTCATGTTTGCTCGGTTCAACGTCACTCGTGAGTTCGTATCCTTTGGGACGCTACTGTAGAACTTTGCCTGGAAACCAAACTCTAGGGCAACAGTTAAGAACAGACACCAAAGTTGAACAGGCCTGAGCCAACCATTCAGGGCCCTCAACCACCGCTACCGCTCGAACTTTGAAAAGGGAGTGGATTTTACACGATCTTGTTTGATTCCGGCTTTTATTATGTTGTACAATGCAAAAGTCTATAGATTCACTTAAAATCTGTTTATTCTGATAGAAGTTATATATATAAAGGCCATATATGTGGTTATATTTGAATCATTTTGTCCAGATTCTGTAAAGCATGCCTATCAAAAGGATTTGCTGTGGAAGAGTTATGTGCCAATTCCCATTTGAAGAAGGAATACAGTGTGACAGCTGCAAGAGATAGCTTCACAGTGAGTGCAAAAAACTAATTCCTGCAGCATACAAGCTCTGCTGAAAACCTCTGGTTGTGCAACGAACTCTGCAGTACGACTAGGTTTCGTATTACGGAAGCCACTGCCACCCTCACTGGGGCTCCAAAGCTCATGGACTGCAAGCGTCCTTTATCACAGGAGAAAAGTGACTACTGCTCAGACACGGATGACGCAACTACCGTCCTCGATAAGACAACACACGTTCCTGACGAGTCTGTGTCAGGGGTAAGTGTCCTCCAGCACAGAAGAACACCCGCCGTATTCCAGACACCCACGCTGCCCCTACGATACCAGATAAGCTCTCCAGTGACAGTAATGGAGAGACTGGAACTAAGAAGAGGCGTGCCAGGGGGGAAAAACCCGCAGCTCAAGTTACCCAGGGACTTGTAGATCAAGCCAAATCCACACCGGTGGATAGCAGGCAGATAAAGTAGGCTACGATTAGCGAGGAGGACGCCAATGAATGGCGTAATGTAGTGTCCCGCAAAAAGCGAGACAAGGACAACATAGTGGCCACACTGTCCACTAAGGACGGAAAGACATTTACGCTGCAGAGCAAGAAGGCCAAGGCATGCAAGTCTGATCTCTCTGACAAGTCGCTCATTCTCCACAAAGTGGAAGAATCAACGGCTTTTTATCTCAAGGTCAGGTTCCGGCATGACCTTAACTTGGTCAAACCCCTTTTAGATAAGCTACCGCCAAAAATAGTATCAGGCATAACAATACACAGCTTATAGAGAATCGGCCAAAAGCCTAACTCCACAGTAACTTGGCCTATACGCCTCCTCAAAGTCGTACTAAACTCCAAAAAAGAGAGGGATGCCATTCTAAGCTACATTCGTGCTGACTAAGGCCTAGCAGACCGTGTCAAAAGACAATCTCCTACCCTAGAATTACGCGAATGACGCCGAAACAGCGAAAAAAACCTCGAGATTAAGGGTTTTCGAGTTGTCAGAGTTCGGAGTTTGATAATCTCGAAACCTCTAGGGATAGGCCGCGGAAGCACCAAACTGAATTGACAGTTTGCTACACAAACGCCCGCAGCCTGTTGAACAAACAGACTGATCTAGGTAATATGATAGACGCATAACAGAGACATGGCTCAAAAACCATATCACTGATAACGAAGTTAACCTGCCAAACTTCAAAGTGCACATGGTGAACCGACTAAGCCGCAAAGGAAGTGGTGTAATCAAGAAATGCTTAACCCTGCGCTACGTAGAAGCACTCGCTCACGAAAGTGAATGGTGTGAACTTCTGCGCTGCAAAATTAAATGCATGGGCCAAGATATTGAACTGATTGCTACACACCGCAGTCCTAACTGTAGTGCAGACGACTTCCTAATAAAGAAGCTAGGCTCCTGGACATCGAAATGTCGAAGTAACGTGGTGGGTGACTACAGTGTCCCAACAGTTGACTGGACAGGACTTACGACGCCATCTTCAGACAACTTCACTGATTATAAACTGCTGGAATCTAGCATTTCTCTGGCCCTGGTTCAGTATGTCATGAAGCCGACGCTCTGTGACTCACAGTACTCCTCTTCAACCTTGAACCTAGTGTTCTCCCATGGTGAGGATGTGAACTTCATGCAACATCTTCCTCCTTTAGGAAGAAGTGATAACACTGTACTCACTTTCAAGTTCACAGTGGGAGTACCATGGCCCAAAATCCCAGCTTGACCAGACATTTGGAAAGCTGATGTAAATGCGATCTTTTCAGCAGCCGACTCAGTGAACTGGTACATAAACCCACAGTCCTACTGAACGAGTTTAAACAACTTCGTGCTCAGGTAACTAAACCTTTCATCCGTTGGTCTGTCCCAAAGGGTCGTAAACATTGCCCTCCTTAGATAGACTGACAGATCCGTAAATTACTTGGACATAAACACAAGTGCTGGAAACTGTTTACCACACTTTGGACTCCTGAGACCAGAAAATTATGCAACACCACTAAAAACAAAGCTATTGCGGAAATCCGCCAATCAGGGATGAAGTTCGAAACAAACCTAGCTCAAAATGCAAAGGCACAACCTGAGAAAATTTTATTGTACGTTGACTTCAGGAATAAGACGTCCAGTGGTGTTCAAAACCTAATATTGACAATGACACAATCGAAGAGGACCCAGAAAAAGAAGAAGTGATGGCAGACTACTTCCCCCAAATGTTTACACAGGAGTCACTCCCCACAGCATCAGCTCTGCCTGCATCAGAGGAACACGGAATAGATTCCTTGTGACATCTTCCAAGACATCGTGGTCAACTACCTAAAGAAACTAAATGCAGGGAAATCAATGGGTCCTGATAATTTTCATCCAAGGCTTCCCAAGGAGCTATCAGCTGACATAACCAGCCCACTGACCACGATCTTCAAGCTATCCCTCCTAAATGGAGTGTTACCGCGTGGCTGGAAGGATGCCATAGTAGCCTCCATCCACAAAGGAGGATCAAGGCAAAGCCCTTCAAAATACAGACCTATTAGTCTCACCAGCACTTTAATCAAGACACTGGAAAGAATCATCAAGAAAAGTATCATGGCATATCTGGGAAACAGCAATTTGTTATCCAGAGCACACCATGGCTTCCAAGGAAACCTCTCATGCCTGTCAAGTCTTCTCGTAGCATAAAAACGGGTCAAGTCAAGGGACAACAGAAGACCCATTGACGTCGTTTCATAGATTTCAACAAAGCCTCCCTCACAAAAGACTACTCATGAGGTTGGAAAGTTTTAGGAAAAATAATTCATGCACCTATATTATACTTTTGCTGAAACTAATTTTGTATGTGCTTGTGGAGTATTTCTCATGGTATTGTTGAACATTGATTTTCATTCGTTACATAAGTATTTTTGCGCGGTTACGGACTTTTTCGTTCGCCTCGCACTCTTCGAAATTTGATTTTTTTTCAGAGATAT